GATATATATATATAGCCAGCTGAATGTGGGTCATTGAAATACAATTCACAAATGTCCACAGAGTATGTCCACAGATGGGCGTCGTTGTGTGTTATGAAAATTTGCATAAATTACGTGTTTTCATGTTTTAGGTTTTAGCATCGCTAACAGTCATTTCGGAGTAGCTGAGCGATACAACACGCTGGTGGCGAAGAGTCTACTTTAACTGGAGTGTGTTTTATAACATCTGATCAGAATCTCTAAACTTGAATCGCGCGAGTGCAATTTAAAAAACTGTAAATACTGTGTCAAACTGAAGTAAATGTTTTGTGTGCGTGTTACAAACCAACGCTGTCGTACGTCACCTAATAGCAAACTACTTGATATTTGCATCGGAAATCGTCATTTTCAATTGTATACATTTTTTTAAATTGTCGTCTTTGGTCGTGTGTGTTTGCGTGTTTCAATATGTAAATTATGAGTGCATGTCCGAATTTTGGTTGAGCTTATTCTGTGTGAAATGTAGTATTAATGAAAAAATATCATAACAATATTTGTTTTCAAACTTGTGGTTTGATTTTGCATATGCAATTCTGTCTTATTTTTGTTGTTGTTTTTAATATTTACTCTTTGCCAATTAATTGATATGGTAATTGTTGGAAAATTATACAATTAATATTTGACAGTTTCAGTACGTATGTCAATATATTTGCTCTGCTTGTTCCATTCTACGTTTTGATTCGTAATAATACAAGGTCCATCTCAAATTCATATACATGTATATATACATACAGGTAGACATAAACAACATTTATCGCAGTGCATGCTGGAAAAAAGTCGAATTGTTCATGAGTTGAATGTTGTATGCACTCGACGGATATACATGTGTGCGTAGAATAGATAAACTTTTAGAAGATCACATGACCGTGAAAATTGAGGATAAGACGACAGGAAAGTGTTTTGGGAGTGGGAAACTGTGGTGTTTTGAAAGTTCACCCTGAACCGAACACAAAAAATGCACAAAGACGATCGAGCAGTACACAAAGACAGTGTATTATGTTTTAATTTTTACAAAAAGTCCGCATTTTATCAAAGAATAAAAAAAAGAAAAAAACGGCGGTGAATTTGTATTTCAAAATAAGTGTACCAGCAAATTGTCCGGTCCATAATTAATATTATTATTTTATTCGAGATACTAATGCCCAGTCATTAGAAAGGAGACACGTGACTATTTAGCACACGTAATACAAGTAAATTACTATACTAAAATAATGATTACTTTAATAATTATAATAATTTCTGTCAACACGAATCACAGAGTCAACTATGTCAGCAATAAAAATGAGCAATGAACATACATTGTTATGAAAATACATAATTATTGATTTGTGCCCCCAAATATAATCACGGCGGCACTAAACTGGAACCCCCAATTGTTGCACGGAATTTCATATACGTACCATTGTAGTAATAACATATTTCGACATCCCACATGCAAATATAAGATAATCATAATATTCAATAA